GTGGGAATGAACCTTCAGGGCATCTTGGATCCTGCCATGGAGGGATTGGGGGGACTGGCTCCACCTTCCCACCACCAAAATGGTGACAGAGCTGAGTGGCCAGGGCCACCAGCGTCACACCAAGGGGACCTTCAGCCCAAATTCCCAAGGGATTTCCCTCAGGCACCACCTGGGGATGGAAGCTCTGGAGCACATGGAAGCAGTAGGAGACAGGGATACATCTCATGGGAGGTCCTGAGTGGAAAGAGATCCACCAAAATTGAGTCCAACACCTGGGACACCCCAAAATCCCATCCTGGGCACCCCTGAGCGCGTTGTCCCAACGCTCCCGGAGCTCTGGCAGCCTCGGGAATGTGCCCATTCCCTAGGGAGCTGTGCCAGTGCCTGACACAAGGACACAATTCCCGGCCTCCCAGTGTCCTTAGAGCAGCCACCAAGCCAGCCAGAGGGGGTTCCCAACACCTGATTTATCAGCTGGTATTTGATAAGGAGCCAGGCTGGAAGCCCACCATTCCAGCACAACTGGAGTTGTGACCTCCCACCGGCTGCTCCCTCCAAGGCAGCAGGTGGTTCCTTAAAACCAGGCACGGAGCCCAGGAATCCCAGCTCCTGGAATGTGAGGCTCAGGGATGAGCTCACGCTGCAGCTTTGCTTCCTTATTTTTAGATAAGAAGGTGTAGGGCTGGAGAAAATGGGAACATCTGGTGACTGCACAGGAGGGAGCAAACCTGGGAGAAGTTAGGGATGCCCCTGGACCCCTGGAAGTGTCCCAGGCCAGGTTGGACATGGGCCTTGGAGCAGCCTGGGATAGTGGGAGGTGTCCCTGCCATGGCAGGGGTGGAATGGGATGGGATTTAAAGTCTCTTCCCACCCAAACCATTCCATGATTCTACCACAGAGCAGGGATGGGAGGGAATTGTGTCTCTGAGGGGATAATTAAGTGCCTCTATCAGGGCTAATAAGAGGAAAATGAACACGTTGGAGGGAGACTTCCCATTCCCAGCTGGCCGGGGTCCAGCAGGATCCCACAGCTGGATCCCAATGCAGGGAAAACACACGAACAAAGCACTTCCCATGGGACGAGCGGAGTCATGGAATGGGTTGTGTTGGATGGGACCTTGAAGGGACACCTCCTACTGTCCCAGGGTGCTCCAAACCCCATGTCCAACCTTCGGCACTGCCAGGGATCCAGGGGCAGCCCCAGCAAATCTGGGAATTCCAGCCCAGCCCCTCCCCACCCTCCCAGCCAGGAATTCCTTGCCAAGATCCCACCTTGCCTGTCTTAACCCCGCGGACAGGGTTTGAGGAGCAGAAACTCAAACCCACCAAGATTGCACAAAGCAAAGCAGAACAGTGCTGGGGGAGAAGAGTGGAACCTCCCTGTGCCCATCCCGTGGACATGCAGGTGCTCAGTCCAGGTGAGTTCCCACCTGCCTTGGTCCAAGCTTCCCTCAGAGCTCAGGCTGGCACTTGCAGAGGAAGCTGAGCACTCGGGATTTACAACTGGCTGGACAGGAGCAGGGGCTGGGAGGAGGGAGCTCTCATCACTGAGTCCATTCCCTCCCTGGAGCCCAGAGTGGGATTCTCAACCGCTGGAGACAGATTTTCCTTGGAAGGAGGCCACGAGCACTGATCTGGCTTCTAGGAGAGATCGGCGTGGCCAGGGATCGCAGGGACCTCAGAGACCGGCACAAAACCCTCCTCTTGCACCAACGTCCTCACAACAAACCCATGAAAACCAAAAATTAAAACACTTCCTGCTGTGGGGAAAACAGGGGATGATTCCACACGTGGGCTTGGGAATGACCTGGGAGCACCTGGAGCTCTCCAGTGGTGTTTGGTGACGATCCAGAGGAGCTGGTTATTTCAAATTTCAGCAAGGTTATTCATGGGACTAAATTTTTTTTTCTTTCAGATTTCTAAAATACAGCACTGAGTGTGTAAGAGCAATGTTGGAAGTGGAAGGGGAAAGGCAAATATTCCTTCCTTGTAAAACCTTAATTATTTGAGTCCCACTCCTGCAGAAAGACTTGAGATGGGAGCTGGCTTCCTTTATCACTTCATTAAGGGTATTTATGGAATTAGAATTGTTCCAGAATAGGAAATCAAGCCCCATTTCACATTTCTGCCTGCTCAAAATAGTGATTTTGATTCTCTGGGCTCAGCTCTTCCTCTTTTCCAGTCAGAGATGGAATTGCTCCTGATTTCCTTAGGCATGAGGGGAAAACCAGGATTTTGATGTACAAAACTTGAGTCTGCTGCTCTGAACAAGGACAAACTCTGATGCCTTTGAACAGTGCCATCTTTCTAGGGTTTATTTCTCACTACAAGGATCTGCACCAAGGCACAAAGCAAGTCACCACATTTTCACATCACTTCATATTTCATTAATTTCGGTCATTCCCTTAATCATCCCCCATTACATTGAAAATCTTCTCGGATTTACAAATGTTCTGCAGCAGCTCCGACTGAAATATGTTGGGAAGGGAAATCTCTTTAATTTCCCTACTTTGGTGAATTCTTGCCCAGTCATTTTTCCTCCCTGGGTCATTCCACTTAAATCAACATTGTGGTGACATTCCACAGAATCTTGGACTGGTTTGATCTGGAAGGGATCTTAAATCTCATCCCACTCCATCCCCTGCCATGGACAGGGACACCTTACACTATCCCAGCCTCAATGTCCAACCTGGCCTTGGACACCTCCAGGGACCCAGCTGCTCTGGGAGACCTTGGGCTCCATCCCAGTCCCTCCCCACCCTCACAGAGAGGAATTCCTTCCCAATATCCCACTTAATCTACTCTGCTTCAGTTTAATTTCATGGCTTCAAAGAGAAAGAATGCCAAGTCCAACAAGAAAAATTTCAAGACAACTTGAAGAGCAACCAAAGCCCTTCATCCATGATGTCCCCACCTCTCCCTGCTCCCAGCTGGAGCTGCAGGCCAACAAGAAGTGCTGGGAGCGTTGGAGGCGTGGTGGCCACAGAGTGGCCCCCAGAGCTTTGCTTGGATGGGCTCTGGTGGCACATTCCAACATGCCACCAGAGCAGCTCAGCGACAGGAGCAGGGAGGGGGAACTGCCTCACCTTTCCGTGCTATGGGTAAGTCAGGGATGGGTCAGCTCCTCTCCACTGTCTGTACAACACCTTGATTTTCCCCTCATCCATCATTGTCCACTACCAGGAGATCCAGGACTTCCCATCCTCACCTGGCACCTGCATCTCCCTTTCCTCTTTGCATATTCACAGGATCCTGGAAAGGTTTGGGTGGGATCTCAAAGCCCATCCAGTCCCACCCCCTGCCATGGCCAGGGACACCTCCCACTGTCCCAGGGTCCTCCACTCCTTGTCCATCTGGCTTTGAGATTCAGAGGTGCTGCTTTTAGATGCAAGAACAAAACCTGGAGCACCTCTTGGGACAAAGATGAAACCTCCATGCCCAAAGACACCCATTGGACAGAGGAGGAAGGACTGAGGAGGCTCCTGCTCCTCCTCCTCCTCCTCCTCACCCAAGCTGGGTCCCTCTGGCTGCGTTTTGCGCTCACAAACCACACAAATGTTTCACTGTCTCGGCCTCACTGAGCCATTTCCAGGCGTTTCACTCTTCCAAGAGCCGCAGGTTCCCTCTCCAAAATCCCCACATTCATGGCCTGGTGCTTGGGAAAGGCCCAGGGCCTCCACATTTCCTCACACTCAGGAGGCCGCGGGCGCGCCGAGCGCCGCAGTCAACAAAGCGCCAAGCAGCTAATGAAGATAAAAGTGTCAACACAGCCCGGTGCTAACGCACACCTCTCCCATGGAGCTGCTGGGACCCTTTTGCAAACAAATTTGGCAGTTCCTGGCGGGCCCGGGCCCGAAAAGCGGCGTCCTGATGTTATTAAAGTTAACAGAAGTGTCATGGGATGACAGATGGCTCCCCGCACATCAATTGGATTCTGAGGAGTTCTCAAACCCTGGCGGGTTGAAAGCAGCTCCAGCACGAATCAGAGGCAGGGGCAAGATCATCGATACAAGGGATTATGCAGATTTAAGAAATACCCTCGGCACCCGAAAGTTTTCAGAATGCAAACTACGTCAACCCCGCGAACAAGAGGCACTGCATCATGATGGCAGCAGGGACAAAGCCAGGGGGGTTTAACAGACAAAAAAAGATTGTTTTAATAGGAGAGAAGCATCAGTCATTGAGTCTTACTTCATTCAGACTTTCTCTCCAACCCATCCATCTTCAGTGCCAAGAGATGACAGGACCACCTCACTTTTCCCCCCGGGCCTAGTGTATCAATAATGCCCATTTCTCCCCAAACAAACGACTCCCCAGAATGGCCCTTTTCCCAAAATTGGCTGCCAAGCCCCACAAAGGCCTCAGTACCTGCTATGGTCAACTTGGCTCCAACGGGGCCCCCTCCAGAGGTGGCCACCGACGGGTGGAGCCTTCCCCAACCATCTTCCCCAAGAGCCACTTTGTCATTCCTGGCCGGGGAGCATCTGCGGAAAGGGGATGGGGCGGGGGGGCGGCCGAGGGACACAGGGAGGGACACAGAGAGGGACACAGACGGGCACGGACACAGGGGAATGCAAATCCCTCCGCCCTCGCAAACGCCTCCGTGGGCATTCTCTGGGAACAAAGGTCCCCGAGGCGGGCGGGCTCTGCATCACTGCTCTCTCTGTTCCCAGCACCTGCTCGGCACCGGCCGCGGAGTCGCCGCGGTCCCTCCGCGCCGCGCCCGCAGAAGCCAACGGCAGCACAATGGCCCCGGTGGCCAGGGTCAGGCCTGGCTTTCTTCCTCGCCCCCTTCCACCAGCCCTTTTCACCTCCACCATCTCCAGGAGCGCTCGGAAAGGAGGTGGCTTCGAGCGACGAGAGGAGGAGGAGGGGGGAAATATAGGTCTCTGGCGTAAATCACTGACGCCGTTTCCCCTCCTCTCCCTTCCCTTAAGACCTGATGGTCTTCAGTCACACATCTTAAAAGCAAAACAAAAAACAAAAACACAAAGACTTACTTGTCTCAAGTCGATGAAGGCCAACTGCAGCGTGTCCCCTTGGAACCCAGGCACTGGGCCGGATCTGGCAAACTCTGTGGGAAAGAAAAGAGGATAAAAAGCGCCTTTAACTAACCATGGACAGGGAGATTGGCAGACGGATGACAGGGAAGACAAGAGAGGCTGGGGGAGAGGAGGACCGCGCTTCTAAGGAGTCATGTCTCCCTCCCTTCAGCGTCTTTGTTCGCCCTTCAAAATTCGTGTCATCAAAACACCATTAATTCCACCGTCCTGACAGCAAGGAAACTGTACTAATTCGACCTGAAATTTATTCCCATGAGCCGCACTGGGCTTCAGAGTATTTGTTTTGTGAACGGACAAACAACTCGCCCAGAAGAAAGGGGGGGATGGGGGTGGAAAAGTTTTTCCTCTCAACACAATAAAATCTTCAGCTGTGAAACTCTTTTCAGTTCCGAAAGCTATTTATATTTTAGGGCGCTGAAGGAATTTTCTAATTTCACGCCTGTCACCAGGCTCCATGAGCATTCATCAAAAAAATATGCCCGGCCGCGTCATTAATTATCAGGCAGCAGATTATTTGCATGATCTGGTGATGGCGCCTCTTGGTCAGCCCAAACGCGGAGAACCGCGGCCGTTGGGTGGCATTTTTATTTCTGGTGGATGAAGACATCTGACAACTGAATAACGTTGGCTTCTAAAGCGAAGAGAATATTTCCAAGGCCACATTTATCTCCTTCCAGCCTAATCTGGCCAAAATTTCATACTTTGGTTGTTCATTTTTCTCCTAATCCATTCTTTAAACCAAACCTAAAACCGCTGGAGCGGCTTGAATGGATCCATGTTAGAGGACCTGGGTTCTTCCATGGCATTTAGCAGCTTTTCCTTGGGAATGCTCACGAAGCCGACGCCTGCACGCATCCCAGGGTGTCTTTTGAGGTTGGTTCTGGCCAACTTCATTTTCACCCTCTGCGGTTACAGCTTCATCTCCGCTCTCCTCACAACCTCTCGGCACTGAGGGGACCTGGGCTGTGAGGCCACAGCTCAACGCCACCAAAGGCTCGAGGGGGAGCACCTGCCTGGGCTTGAGCTGTGTGGCTCCTGCAGGCACTGGAGGTGCTGGAGGAATGAAATGTTTTCTTGGGATGAAGCCAGGTGTGATGGAAAAAGGGGAGAAAGGAGGGAAAATATACACCAAATACAGATTTTTCAGTTACATGGCCCATTATCGCCCATCTATCCTGGTTTTCACCCTACAGGAACCCTCCAACAGCTCCTAAAGCGCCACAAAGATGAGGATTAGGGATGGCTGGGCAATATGGAAGGAGGATTTTGCCTTTTGTCTCCCTGACTAATCGGAGGCACCAATGGACAAAGTCATTTCATGTCAGGTGGTCTTTGCCTTGAACACTTGTCCTCCCAAAAGTTTTCCTATTTCCAAGCCAAGGCCACAAAATCAGGAACATAAATCATCACACCCCCGTTTCCAAAGCTTTCCTCGAGCAGCCCAATCACGGAGCAGCCCCTTGGCTCTAACAAGAAGAGATTAATGAGTGAAACACCAGGACTCAGTCCTGTCCCTCAACCGCCTCGTTTCGGGGAAGCGAAGCAGGGTTATTAATCAGCTCCCTTGCTCCACCTTCCATTAAAACCTTGGGATGGAGAACATCCTTCAAGCCAGACACAGGCACCTCCAGGGGCACGGGGGAGACTTCTCAGACTCTGCTTTTTAATAGTCTCAGATGCCAGAAGAGCTTTGAGATTGAAACCATCGCTCATCTTTGCAGCGATCGCTCAAGTGACAACCCCTGCAGGACAAGAGCAAACACGGCTGGGAAATCATTGCTTTCATCTGAAGTTATGAGTCAAAAGGAGCAATGAGCAAATAAAAACAGAAATTACGGATGTGGCTGTTCATATTTAGATTTTGGATAGAAAAAGCACAAACCAAAGTCAGCGGGAACCATCCATGTTTGTGCCTTTGGAGTTTTCCACCGGATGGGACTGGACAGGGATGAAGAGGAGGAAGTTCTTCCCCTTCCCTGGTTGGGTGGGCAGGCCCTGGCACAGGGTGCCCAGAGAAGCTGTGGCTGTCTGGAGCTCTGGAGAAGCTCACAGGTGGGAAAAAGTGAGAAATGTTAGGAAGGAATTGAGGCAATGCCTGGATCCCTGGAAAAGTCCCAGGCTAGGTTGGACATGGGGACTTGGAGCACCCTGAGACAGTGGAAGGTGTCCCTGCCCATGGCAGAACATGGGGAACAAATGGGAACTGGATGATCTTGAAGGCTGCTCCATCCCAAACCATCCTTGAGATCAGAGCTGCTCAGCTCCAGCCAATTCCACTGACCAATCCTGCAATATTCCGGGTGCAAAGAGCCCAGAGGGACTTCACATGTGTCCCTCAAATGCTGTTTTAATTAATCCTAACTGCAAAGGCATTTTAATGTAGATTTGCTATAAAATTTGACTGCAGCTTGCCCGAGTCAGCAGGGAGGGAGGATCAACACAAACCCTCTGACTCTGATCTGCAAGGGATAAATCATCTTTACACGTTCCCTCTACGCCCCACTGTCCCATCTGGAACAATTATCCCAAAAGCCACATCAATCCTAAAACCCTTTGGAAAAGCACAATACCTGAGAAACTAAAAATGTTTAGAAGTGAGAAATGGGACTCGAGCACCTTCTCAAGAGGTGAAACACCTCTGGGTGGCTCAGGGTCAGAGATATCCCCAGGCTGAGGAACCCAACCACGATGTCCTACCCTCCAAGGGTGGGGTCACCTCATGTTCCTGATTACGCTTGGAGAAATCCTGGAAAAGAAAGCCTGGAAGGACTGTGAGGAAAGCGAGTTTCTATTTTGGATCAAGGGCCTCACAGCTGTTCAGCATCTATTTAGGAGCACACACGGAGTTGGGAAATTTAAGCTCTTCCCCAAAGCATGAACTTCAAAACCCTCATGAGAAAATGCCTGTGATTGTGAATGTTCTCACAAGGCTGGTGGATTTATCACCCCTGTCGGCTGCTTGTGAGAAACCCAAGACAGATTCCATCCCAAGACAGATTTCATCCCAAGACAGATTTCATCCCAAGGCGGATTTCATCCCAAAACAGATTTTATCCCAAGACAGACTTCATCCCCAAAGAGATTTCATCTCAAGACAGAGTTCATCCCAAGAGAGATTTCATCCCAGGACACGGCTGCTCCTCAGCAGCTCACCTTTTGCTGTCTCTGCCCACTGTCCTTTCCCACAGTTCCCTGCCCATGGAAAGGTTGGAACTGGATGGATTTTAAGGTGTTTTCCATCCTGAACTAGATGGCTTTTAAGGTCTTTTCCACCCTAAACTGGATGGCTTTTAAGGGCTTTTCCATCCCAAACCAATCAGTGATTCCTAAGGAACCCACTGGAGGAAGGCTGGGAGAGTTATGGAATGACACTGCCCTTCGAAATTTAGGATGTTGCACATGGAGCCAACACTGATTTAAGCTGCAATTTTCACCAAAATACTGAATGAACAATGCTCTGGAACCTTCTAAGGAAAGGTGTCCATGCCCACGGCTGGAATGAGATGGTCTTTAAGGCCCCATCCATTCCAAGCCAATCTGTGACTCCTAAGGAAGCTCCTGGATCAAGCTGGGAGAGTTACGGAGTGACACTTCAAAACTTAGGATGGTCACACACTGAGCCAACACTTAACAGCAATTCACATCAAAACATTAATCAACACTGAATTAACAAAGATCTGGAACCTTCTAGTGCAAGGTGTCCCTGCCCATGGCTGGAATGAGATGCTCCTTAAGGTCCTTTCCAACCCAAATCCTACAGTTCTGGGATTCTATGGTTGACACCCAAGCTGATATTCTCTGTGTCCCAGAAGAAATAATGTAGAGAAAAAATAATGTAGAAGCTCGTATTCTCTGTGTCCAAGAAAAAATAATGTGGGAACTGATATTCTTTGTGTCCAAGAAGAAAATTATATAGGAGCTGATCTTTGTGTTCCAGAAGAAATAATGTAGGAGCTGATATTCTCCGTGTCCAAGAAGAAATGATGTAAGAGCTGATATTTTTCATATCCCAGAAGGAACGAGAACAGGAATTCGGCGCAGACACTCGGAAAAGCTGCAGAGGAATGAATGCAATGCTTCCCCTGGGCTGCCGGAGAAGGAGCTGCACCTCCTGTAATCGCAGGTCACACTTTACATACCAATGCCACCAACCCATTCTGAAGGAGGAATGAACAAAGTCTCGGAGCAAAAAAGGAGAAACAAAGAGGAGAGCGGAGCTTTAGAGGAGAGACACAGCCAGTTCTTCTTGGGTTTAATCTCTTCAAGCAGATTTCAGGACAATTTCCTCGGAACAACCGAGCGCAGCGTTGGCCTCAGTACTGTCGGATTCCTTTATTGTACTGTCTTCACGACCAAGGCAAGTGGCAAACATAGCAAGCAACCTACAGAGCAGCCCCTTGAGCAGAAAATCACCGGAGAATAGAGCAGATCAGTATGCGGCTGTTTGTACAAAGCATTTAGCCAGGCTAAAGGTTTGAGGGGTTTGTGTTCAGGCCAAAAAAGTAATGTCTTTGCAAGGTCTACAGGCTTGGGCCACCCAGGGCAGGTCACAGGGGGACTCCAACCTCTCTTCCAAAACATTTCACTGATGAAAGAATCAAGGAACAGGAACCGTTAAGCCCTTTACAATGGACAAAGAATAAAGAGTTCAAAGGCACGGCAGAAAAGAGACATCCACTGTAAATTAATTAATTACAGCCAACGGGGGGATCTCCCTGTGCCCCCAGCGCGGCTGCGCATGCGGGGACAGGGCCTTGCATGGATTGAGCGGTAAAAATGCCTCAAAAACATCATTTGAGGGCAAGATTTCCTCTGAACTACGCGGGATTTGTGATGGCACCTGCGAGATGGAGGCTGAAGCAGGTCCCAGGGAAGGGAACATGGACCAATCTGCTCGTGGCCACACAAAACATCTGGGTAATCAACCATCTCAGGATTCATCGAAGAAGGATGGGGACCTTGAAGCCATCTTCCTTGGATAAAGCCTTGGAAGG